TGTTTATCCCATGGCCATATCTTTAATTCTCTAATTTTGGCAAGTGTTTTTGTCATTTTTGGTTAAAAATGGAATTTCATCTAACCACTATTTCCAATGCTTTGGTGTTAGGCATACATGTGTTTATTATTCCATTGACAACTTTGTGTGGTTGTTTGGCGATATTTCAATTAAAAGTACAAATGTAAACGAAAAATGGTGTGGCATATACAGCACAAATCTTTTGTACAATAGCCGTTGAGCAACAGACCATTGACCTATTTTTAAGAGGTAAACTGAATATGGCATGAAATATTTACCGTATTTTACTTGTATTAACAGGTCATTGTCGAAGCGTAGTTTACGCACGGTTACCATAGTCTACGCATTCACAACATATTCACTGCGGTCAATATCCACGCTGTATCTTATAAAAACGATTACAATGTTTTAAATTAGTTGCATTTTGAAGGGGTGGGCGTTGTGCCGAATGCGACCCCAAATATAAAAATTGCGCAAAAGCATGGGCGCTAACGCGGTCGAGTACGGTATTTGTCCAGAAAATAATGAGATGTCGTGTTACAACAGAAACATTTATTTGAGTGAATCAAAATCCAATAAGTGTTTCAGAGGAAATTAAATATTGTTTAGCTTGCCTGTAATATAAGTGAAGGAAAAGTCATTGTAGTGGCTAAATGTTTGTTGTCATAAACTTCTTTTGTGGATGCCATAACTTTTGATATTGGAAAGTGTATATGGTGTCTATTGGAAAACTTTATAGTGTAGTTGTAAAGACCTATGCTTTACAAGTGGAAGATCATTCATATGTACCAGTAATGATACACCCTATGCTATAGTCTGCTGCCCTCACATATACAGTGCAACTTGGCAGCCATGTGTAGTTTATATGTATGTTCTATAAACAGAATGCTACTTATTAGTCCCTGTTTTAGGTGCAGCCCGGTTTCCGTATGTAACGTCTCCAACTTTTTCTCAGAAATTCTGCAGCAGGTATCGATGAAACTTTGCAGGTTGATGAATAAGGTTCTGCCGAATATGCACATAATTTTTTTTTCCAGATATGAAAATCTTCATGATTTTCATCCAAAATTACCTCTCCAAACACCACTGAGAGAACAACTGAGCAGAATAAATAAATAGCTTAGATTGTGATGCAAGGGTTTTTAGTGATGTCAATGACCTGGGTCGTACCATTACCAATCTCTGTGGAAACTGTAGAGGGGTGTCAGGGCTACATTTTGAGGGGAATTATAGTGGTGATACTGAAACAAACCCAGGTCCTGGTAATATACAAAGACCTGAATTAACAAAGTTAAGTTGTTATTAAAGGTACATCAAGGTTCACTCAGATTTATGAATGCAGTTTCTTGAGCATGTATACATGTATGAGACACAGTTTGGTTGCACATGTGTACTCTAAGATTTTGGACTCAGGTCAATGGAAGTTTTCGGTTATCAGTACAATACTAGATTAAGGAAAATCACTTTATGATGAGTTGTACCCACATAGAGTACATATTAATTCAACTGCTTGCAGATGTTCCATGTATTATTTTATTATGATTATTATATAATTGACGGGGACTGTGACATTCATGTCTTTTTATTTTAGACTTGAAACTAATAAAAGTAATATTATTCTGCAAAAATGGGTGGTCAGATAAAAGGAATTTTTTATACGCTGGTGTGGTTTTTATGTAGAGGTGGTTGTTAACACAGGTTTGATTTTATAATTATTGGAAGATTTTGAAATGACGCATTCTAATATTTGAAAATGTGGTTATAGTATGTATGTAACAATTTCTGAATTTTATAAAAATGTTATCAATTCATAAGTGTGTTTTTTTTCCCTTCAGAACAAATACTTCTTTAGTATGCTCAGGACGTGGAGAGTGTTCATGTGGTGACTGCATTTGCTTTCCTGGAGTAAGTATGTGATGCGACTTTTAATGATTGTTTCTTTCTCATTGTCATGATTTGTGTTTGCTGCCTGTCATGAAGCTATCTACCTTGGTCTGTCATTATATCAAGTTAGCTATGAAACTATCTGCTTCAGTCTGTTTATACCACAAGTTAGTCATAAAGCTATTAGCTTTACCCTGTCTATACATCTAGTACATGTATGTTTATATAAATCATTAACTGAATCATGTATTTTGTGCTTCCAGAAAAATGATCAGTATTTCTCTGGACCATTCTGTGAGTGTGACAGTCTGTCCTGTGATAGACACAGTGGTGAAATATGCGGAGGTAAGAGAATTCAATATTTCTGTTCTGTGTAACAATTGTATTTGGTCTATTAGAAGAGCATGTTTAATTTTGCAAGAGACAAATGTTCAAGACCAGAGAAATCTGCAAAGTTAGTTTTGAAAACTTATCTGAGGTCATACCACATGGAGTGTCAGTGATTTTCATGAAATTCATAGCAAGAAATAATCATGGCGGAAATTGTGTATGATTGAACGTATTCAACAACAAAGAAATGCTTATTATCTTAGCTTTGAATGTTTTCACGTAAATTCTGGCAAGCAATTACCGGATTCGGCTGATACCCCGCCCTGTGCGATCTTATGGAGGATTCAATTTTTTTTTTAGAAAAATTGTGGACCAAAAGATCGCCCGGGTGATCTTTTGGCAGATATTACTAGACTCATCTTGTCTGGAAAAATAACCCTGCGTTGATAAAAATGGTCTAAAAAAATTATGTTTCGCGTTGACCAAATATAATTATGCAAAGTATAAATTCAATGTATTTTAATACATTGGTGAGAGGTCGCATTTTACGTGAACAAGAACATGCACTAAGAAGGAAAAGCAAAGAAGTCAAAGTCGAAACATGGACATAACACAACACACGCTGCGACAACTGAGTGATCAGCGGCATCATTTTGCGACGCAATTGAACTTCAAGTACTTTGCGAAACTTGCTGCGCGCCGATGCTGGCATCAAGTGTGTGTTGACCGAAGTTTGACCCCAAGTCACGCGCTGAACTGGCGTTTTACCTTAGCAACCTTTTTTCTTTTGTGGTCCGCGCGTCGATCTAGTAAAATTGTTGTTATATCCGACGGTACTGTAAGTACGCAACTTGTATGCAACTCTGTACTGGCTTTGAATATATCAACGTCGTTTACTTAGTGCACTGCTTTTCTAATTACGCAAATTTGTTTACAATACTGTACCAGCTTTGAATATTTCAACTTTGTATTAAATGTATTGCTTTCATGATAATTACGCAAACTCAAGTTAATATTTACTATTGTTAGGATGCTAACCTGGGGTATTGGGTCTGTGAATATTTCAATATTATGATAATGCGTTGCATTCGTAATAATTACACACAGCACTGTACGCAGGGCTAGGGGTATTGGGTCTGTGAATATTTCAATATTACCGAATTGATAATGCGTTATTCGTAATAATTACGCAAACATAAACATGGGCGCATTTAAATCATTAAAAATGATAGTAGTCGGGTAACTACGAAAAGTCAAGAAAATATTTTAAATACTTGTGATTCATCGATGTTCCAATGGTGATTTTTTATTTGAAATGAAGTGAACATGTAATATAAACCATACCATGCGTCAAGTTAAATTTTACTATAATATAATAAACTCTGGACAGCGCACTTCGATCGCAATATTCACGTACATTTCGACTGAACTCTAATAACCACGCGTTTGAATTACGTGCGGCATTGGGCAATGACCTCCAGAGTTCACGCACTGATATTTAAATTCGAGCCACCCAGCTTGACGAAAATCAATATAGTTACTTGTCATTTGTTAAAAAAATCTTTCAACTCTCACAAATACCATGAATGCAAAGAGTTAACTGAAAGGAAACATCTTTTTTGGACAAAAAACACGTCAGTACAAGATTATGTGTACAAGGTTAGCTTTATAGAACGTACATGACCACTTAACTCTGTGTTTTTTAATAATCATGTCGCATGTGAAACGCAGGAGACATTTTAGTTCGCCCATTTCTTGTTTACCGACTTTTTGTCTGGAATGCGATACAGACAAAGATTAAACATTACTGATAACAACCAAGAGGCTTGAACCAGGAAGGCTTGGATATTTTAAACTTCGTAAATAACATTCTTTTCAAGCGTAGACTTTATTCGAGTGTAATAAACGTAAGTGAAATGTATTTTAATGAGTCATAATACGGAACAACAATTTGTATACAGCATTGGTTTTATTGAAGTTTTAATGAAGTTTTAATGCTTTTCGACTTCACAGTGAATTTTTTTAGCATCATATTTGAAATAGCGCTCGATACAAGATGTCGTACAGGAAAATTGGGGTCTGTAAAAATGTTTGTTGGTTCAGTCAGGCAATGTGTGGACCAAAACATCACCCACTATTTGAAACATCGCCCATGGGCAGGGTTTAGGATGGGCGGGGTATCAGCCAAATCCGGTAATATTGTAATAATATTTGCGCAATTTTATTTTTTTACAAATAGACATAATCATCTCCCCTAATCTGGCACATGATGAACTAGCATTGTTATTTACATAATTTTTGGAGGAAAGCACACAGCTACGCACCCAACAATTACTGGAGCTGAGTACTCTTGGTGCCATGTCAGATATGTATAATTCCTGAAAACCCACAAAGATTGGCACACATACATGTATGCCTCTACATTATAATAAGAGTATATATGGCAACAAACACAAAGTAGCGTTACTTGAGTGTATATATATTTTCTCATCTAAAAGTCATTACAAACATGTCTCACTTGCATTTCAGGTGATCGTGGTGAGTGTGTGTGTGATGAAGTCCTTCACCAAAGTGTCTGTAAATGTGATAGTATGTGGACAGGTTCTGCATGTGAATGTCCATCATCTAACGCTGCATGTGTGGCATCAAATGGAGTAAGTTTTCCAACATTCTACTCATCTCAATCTATTTAACGGTACATGTGTTTTGTTCGCACATTTCTCTCGCATTATGCAGGATGTAGGTCAGTATTTGAATTGGGAGAATGGCGATAGAAACTGTTGGTTCAGTGTTTTGTCCTCAAGTTATGTTAATGCATGAATGATGGTACAATAGTTAGTGTGTTTAGTCTGCATCAGGAAAATTCTGGGTTTGATCTCCAGGCCAACTGTTCACTCAGTATAAATCCCAGTACAGTCCTGCCTTTTAAACATGTGGTGTTGGAATTGGGAGACTCAAGTACTTGCAATAAGCATTTAAGACCAAAAAAAGGCAGGAGATACTGTACTGCAGTGACTTTATGTTTAAAAATGTCACCTGTCACATTGCATGTTGTTACTGTTTTATACCTGTTGATATGTGGAGGTAATGTGTTAATGAAAACAATCCTTTTTCTCTTCATCAAGAGTAGTAAAAATACTTGATTTGCATATTTTTCTTACTTCTGAGTGGCTGCCTCGTGCAGTTGATAAAGAGATAAATAATCAAAACCATAATCTAAAACTAAAGTCATCACAAAAATTATCTTACTGAGGTATGTTTTAAACCTCATAGTAATTATGATAGAATTATCATATGATGTGGGTAATTCTGAAAAATAATTATTTGTTCATTCATGCTTGCTATTTTAATTTCAGGAATTATGTAATGGTGTAGGTGAATGCATATGTGGTGTTTGTAAATGTAATTCTACTACTTTATACAAGGGACCAACTTGTGAGGAATGTACTATTGGAACTGTAAGTATGGGTGATATTCATTGACTTGCACCTACTGTCTACTCAGAATATTTGTGCTTTCCTTACAAAAACTATCAACTCCCTTGTCATATGTTACTATCACATGACAAACAAAGTTGAAACGATTGCATTATCATTTTTGTATCATTGGGGTATATATGATGGAAAAATCTTCATTATTGTCAATAGCTATGCCATGAACTCCTGTGATTATTTAGATATAATCAAATTCTGCATATATTACGTAGTGGTAGTGATGACGGTGGCAGATTATAATATAGAAAATAATATGTTTTACAGGATTACCCAGGACTGTGTGAAGTGAATAAATGTAAAAACAGTAAAGCTTGTGTGCAATGTAAAGCTTTTAAATCTGGTAACTTAACAAAAGAAGAGTGTGATGAATGCCCATACCCAGTGCAGATGGTTAAAGACCTAGAGATTGGTAAGTTTTAACCCAGTGGCTTTTTTGAATATATAAAAAAACAATATATTTGCATATATTTCCTAATGTGTTTTTTTTTTTATCGCAATTTTTGGACATGAAAATAAGCACCAAACTGGTACTGATACTGATCAACCAATGCATGTTGGCTACTGGCTCTGATCAACCAATGCATGTTGGCTACTGGCTCTGATCAAACCAATGCATGTTGGCTACTGGCTCTGATCAACCAATGCATGTTGGCTACTGGCTCTGATCTAACCAATGCATGTTGGCTACTGGCTCTGATCCAACCAATGCATGTTGGCTACTGGCTCTGATCCAATCAATGCATGTTGGCTACTGGCTCTGATCAACCAATGCATGTTGGCTACTGGCTCTGATCAACCAATGCAT